AGTCTGCTCAGTATAGGGAGTCTGCTCAGTATATTGGAATCTGGTCATTACATGGACTCTGGTCAGTATATTGGAGACTGATCAGTACATGGAGTCTAGTCAGTATATTGGAGTCTGATCAGTATGTGGAATCTGGTCAGTATATTGGATTCTGTTCAGTATATGGATTTTGGTCAGTATATTGGGTTCTGTTCAGTATATGGAGTCTGGTCAGTATATTTCCAAACAAGAAAGGAGAAAGGGAAGAACAAAGTGACAGCTTACAATAAAATCAGAAGGATATCAAATTTTTCTTGATTCTGCTGTCTTTTTTTTTAATTCACTACATAGGTCCTTTCAAGGGATTTATTTCAAAAACATATATAAGTAAACATAAAGCTAACTTAATTTTAATTCTTTGAGGTAAATTGAGTTCTTTGAGTAAACAATGAATTAAAATCATTGCCAGAGACAAAGAATCAAGATGAGCCAATTTGCCTTTTGGTGCTGTCTCCCCCTGGATGTCACTGGGTTTCAGTTTTGCTACCCGGAACTGGAACTGCCATGGAGTTTCTGTGACCTCTAAAGGACCCTGGTCCCCACAGGACCCAGAACTTGTGTCGGCCAGCAAAGGGCGGCAACCACGAATAAAAAAAAAGAAAAAAGAAAACTTTAAAACACAATGAAAAGAAGAAGAAGGAGGAAAATCATTAAACACAGAAACCATCTGTGCCTCTCTGCTCCATGTAGGCTTATTTTTCCAATACCTCACATACCTCAAATACTTCAGTACAACTCCTACGTTTGAGAAGAAGAAAAGAAAAATAACAAAACTCAATATTTTATTAGGCAGATTATCTATATTGACGTGAAAAATTGGATACTTATTTAAAAAAAAATACAAATATAACTTTTGTTTGTTTTTGGAAGCTCCCTGTGTCTGCTTCTTTGGCCAGAGGGTATCTTTCCCACATTATTCTCCTGGGCTGAGTGTGGGTGTGCGTCCCCCCTCTGGTAGTTTAGTGGGTTCTGCTACACTGTGTATGTCACAAGCTAAGACTGCAAAAGGGAAAAGAGTTAAAAGAAGCAAAATTGCTGGTAGACTTTTTTTCACGCAAATAATTTTACAGCCCATGTACAATATAGTGCTGACAAGAAGTTGTAAATATGTGCTGGGTAGCTATTTTTTTTTCTTTAAAAACAATTCCTACATCTGTAAATGCTTCCTTTGTGAGTATATTTTTATTAACTTAAAAAATCTTCAGGCCTAATTTTTTCCATTATTGTAGGGTTTGGAGTTAAAAACTCAAGTGGTTCCGTATAGGTCAAGCTTACCAGACAGACTATCATATTTTTATATAAACTCTTTCACCAACACTCTAATTGGAATCAGTTGTAGAGGCATTGAATAGATTTTGTTAATTATGAACTAATGTCATGGGATGCGAGGTTTTATGATACTCTCACAAAACATTTTCGCACCCTTATCCTTAATTAATTTGTCTAGAAAATTGTATTTGGAAACATTTGGTTCTACCTAAGTAGAGGCTTGTGTTGTGTAAACAATCATGACCTTCGTTCAAAAGTAATCTTTGAACTTCTTTTACAATTACTAGACAAATAAAATAAACATTGCCAATGCACTAGGAAATTTCTATTTATCTGGAAGCAAATGGAAGTAAGAGATCATAAGGTTCAAGTTTAGTTCTACAAATTTAGAACTCCTGATCTTTGAAGTTGTCCTGTATTGCTTCACTTAGAAACCCTTAGTCACTACAGTGAACATAAAATTGTTCTACTTATACAGGAAACTTCACAAAGAGCAGTGGTAGATAAACATTACTGAACCTGCTCAGATGGAGCTCTTCCTCCTTACCCTAGAAGAGTATACAATATAATTCCACTCTTTTTCATATGATCTTTTACATGGGAAGATAATGTTGATGATTAGAGATATCCTCACACTTACGTAGTGTATTAGGGTCTTCCTGGGTTTAAAGATAGTAGTTATCACTAATGCTTATCTGCTAGTGCTGGCTTTTCTTTTCCTCTCTCATCAGCTATTTGAGACTTTAGATCCAAACGAGCCATTTTGTCTGGCTCCTAGGAAGCCATTAATACTCTGAATCTCCAAATTCAATAGTTATACCCCATGGTTCGTGGCTTCTATGTATCTTAATGGCTTTTTTCCTAGGAAGTTTTATGATCCAACTTACTAAAACAAATAAAAAGTCAACAGACAAATTCTTTCCACCCTTGAGCTAAAGGGAACATTTCTTCACTGCTAATTGAGTCATCACTGACAGGTTTGATATGCAGACAGCAGCTCAGGTCTCAAAAATCTAGAGCTACTTCAGGTAAACCTGTTTTTCGTTAAAAGAGCATAAGCCATTGATATTACTCGACAAATCTGTGTTCTCTGAGCAATTCTGTAAATATCAGTTTTGGATGTTTAGTGTCCCTTAAATTACAAATTGTTTCATTCCCTTTGTTCAAATGTACGATACCTGCTCAAGGTTAACCTAAACTATCTTTATATTTTGACCTATAACAATAAGAAAAAGTAAAAGTGAGTAGTGGCTTCTGCCTCTCAGAGTGTTCAATTTTTATTTAATTAGCTTCCCCCAAAAACTGATGATAACTTGAATGTGTGTTCCACTCATAGATGTTATTGTCCTTCAGCAGCAATAGCTATCTTGCATGCAAAGGTCATTGCCACATGTAAAAGAAACGATCCCACATCATTGGGCATGTGGAAGGAGTCGCAAGTGGCAGAGAGTTTGCAAGTACCTGAGTCATTGGTTATGACAGGGTGCTGGACCTTTCGCTAAGTTTAGTATCCCCTCAAGTGTATTGAGGTGCAAGTACCATTAACTCTTGGCAATATTCTCCTTCCTAATTCAAAGAACAAAAGATTACTAAACCTCATAAAAAGACTTCTCAAATTTCAAATAGCTTTTTAAAAAAATTTAATGAGTTAAGAGTAATTGAATCAGAAACATATGGATTAAATTTTCCTTGAAATCACAAGGGTTTAATATTAAGGGAGAAGTCATTCAGCCGAGCCCCTAAAGACTAGCCAAACCCATTTTTAAGACCAACTAGTCATACTCTGTAACCTTTCATCTTACCCATTTATCTTTGTCTAAAGAATTTTGTGGTTTGGGTGATATTGTGTTGATTATAATTATACCAATAGATAATACATCTGTCAATAAAAGAATTCAGTACATCTGCTGCCTATATCTTTATGGTTTGATTTACTTACTTACCTAAATGTATTTAACTGTGTAATAACCTCATCTATCTACAACTGTGGTTTTCAACTGTTTAACCAACATGAACTTTTTTTTGTAAACACAAGCACATGCAGATCCACAATCTAGCAGGTTGAGGAGCAGGAGAACGCTGGGCTCTAGTTCCCATCTGAGGTAGCTCCTCAGCATCTCTATGGAATCCTGGAACACAATTTACAAGCCTTTGATCTAGCATGTAGCCAAGAATAGGGAAATATACAAAATAAAAGGGAGAGGGGATTCCTAGGAAACCAAAGGGACATCACAGAGTCCATGGAACTATTAGAAAATTCTTTTATCATATTCATTATATTCTTACTTTACAAATAATTCTAGCAAGTGTTGATTGTTTCTATATCTACACAAGATTGACAGTAACAAACTGGGAGACTTAAAATTGTAGGAAAAATAGATAGGAGGGAGAGGGGGAAAGAGAAAATTGAGACAATTTTCAAAAGGTTTAGCAACTCTCCCTTTAGGTTGAGAGAAACAGCCTACTACCTCAATAGACTCAGAGTATCAACGCATCAAATGCAACATAATAAATGGTATGCATAATTGAGACCTCAAGTTGTAAAGAAAACTTTATGTTTAGAAAATACTCTAGAGCAAGAGAAAATAGTGTTGCACCATTACTTTTTATTTGAGGTGTGTAGAATGTACCAAAAATTTGTTGTAGGCTCCTAAGAAATAGTAAATATGCAATGATAAAATCTGTACTATTGCTGTGGATCTCCCACCACCACCCCTCAACTTTTGTGCAAATTTCTTCTAGAGCTTCGTTAATATAAAATAGCAGGGAGACCAAATCAGTAGGGACAAAAATACTTGGGTCTCTATGGTTTGGTGAGGCTGTAAGAGCAAGTACTCTTGTGGATAGCATTCATTACAATAACTGGATAATTCATAAACAATACATAGAACTTGACTACATCTATGTTTTCAGACTCAGTGAATTCTTTTTGGAAATGTGGCAGCAATGTGTTAGGCGTAGTCCTAGCTGGAGGCAGATGTAAGAGTCAGAGTAACATAGAAAATGTGGATCCAGAAAGAAATACCAAATTCCCTTAGGAAAAAGAAAATGGGTTGTATTATCTTGGCACAGAATCAAGTCTAGGTGGAGCCTTCAAAGACCTGTGGAAATTACTAACAGTAACATTTTGACTTCTACAGATTAAGTCTCAGAATATAATAATACAGCTCATGCCTTCCTTCATAACTCCGTAAGATAAGATTCTTATTGGCAAAAAAACACACTAACACGATATTTGGGATTTCTTTATTTACGTGTGTGAAAATGAGATTCCCAGAGCTTAGATGAATATAACCTCCCTCTTTTGGAATATTAAAGTATTGCTGATGAATGTTACCAAAAAAAGATCTCCATATTAGAAGTTCCAGGGTACTGAACATTCTGAAAATTATTCACTGAGGATTTGACCTTTTATGGCCACCTAAAATTGAACCCGCAGTGAAAACCAGAAACCCAGCTGGGAAAAGGAAAAAAACAAATATAAGGACACAAATGTAAAAATAATGCAAAGGTCATACATGACTTGTCCAAAACTCATTTTGTAGCAGATATAGGGCTATTTATATGGATTTGAAGATTTTGTAAAATAACTGTTGCAAATTTAATGTCACTATCTCATTCCCTTAAAACCCTAACACCTATCAAAGAACCCTGCCAGTTTCCATCGGAGCACAACAAAGACCTCACTCTCCTTGAAGATAAGCCAAGATCTAGTCTTCTGACTTGAACGTCTTTATTGACAATGCTGCCAAATGTCTTTGAGCCTTGGAACCTCCCACCAATGAGTCCTGATTTCTTCTGGATGGTGCTCTTTAGTTCACTTCCATGGGAGGAAACATATTCTTCTGGAACTTGAAGCAAGATGACCCTCTGCCCTTCAGAGAGCTCACTGTAAAAAAACAAAACAAAACAAAACATGTTATTTTGCTACACTGTACCTTCAGTTTGTCAGTAATAGGAGAAAAACCGTGACTCTGATGTTTAACAGAAAAAAGTCAATTTGTGACTCATCCAATACAAAAGGAAGAGTGCTTAAGGAAATGATTTTGAAGACACGATGTATTGACGTGCTTACCTACCATGAGTAAGGTCTTGTAGCGTTAAAAGGAACATTTATTTCTTTTTCTGTGATTTTTTAATTTCAGAAAGATCTAGAGAAAAACACCAGATACTCACAGTAGGAAACTTTCACACGAGCTGCTAGCAGTTCATTCTCCTATGGTCTAGCGCTATTATTGACTAGGGGTTTTGGTTTTATTTTTTGCTTTTGTTTTCATTTTTTAACATCCAACATGCTACCTCTTGGGGAGTAAAATGCCATACTACAAGAAATTTTTCAAATAAAAAATACATGTCCTTTTAAAAACCTTTGTTCAGTGATGTCTTTGTATAACAAGAAGTTCATGTTCTAATATGCTGAAAGCTCCAATAACTTTTTACAAGGAAACCTGAGGATAGTAGGCTGAAGTAGCGTACTTGGCTACAGTCAGAGTAAGAGCTGAATTGAAGAGGAGTACTCTCCCCCCACCCCGCCCCTGGCACAGGCAGAGATGGAACAGACCGAAGGCAGCGTAAATGTCTGACTATTATGAACGCTCTAGCCTCTGGGTAGAAATATGTCCATTATGTATTGGTGCCCCATCTGCAGATTGTTTTGCAGCCTCTACCCACATTGGAAAATCATTTAGCATCACTCAGAACCAGAGCCAGAGCCGTGTGTGTGTGCATTTTTACTGAAGTAAAATGTGTGCTCATATTTAAAAATAAAATAATACAAGTGCTTAAAATTGAAAGCAAGGATGCCCAGCCTCCTGCACACCCCACCCAGCACCACTCCTAAAGAGGCAACCACTTTTAGCTTTGTTGGCAACTTCTGGCAGTGACCTCCATTTCTCTAAAAATCTGAACTTCCCTTATCCTTCATTCTTGATTAATCTATTTACTATATTATATTAATCTATTTTACCCCTTACTTATTAACTCACTATAATGGCAGATGAAGATTGAACTTGCCTCAAGTTCCAACAAAGTCCTGGTTCTAGGTTGATTCCTTCCTCAGTTACCTTTGTGCTGGCTTGTTAACTTGCCCTTCCTAAGACTCTCTGTGATAACACTTTCAGCCATCACTCAAGCTTCTAATAACAGAGCGCGAACAATGCTGTATGTCTAAGTTACAAGCAATTCAAACGTGAGGCTTTGACAGTCCATCCCGGCTTCTGCTTCCTGAATCATACAAAATCTTTGCAATATATGGCTATTAGATTGTGAAGACACAGAGTCACCAACCTGTAGCAAGTTTGTAAAAGGATGAGGTATTTTGTAGATGGGGAAGTAACAGGCTTCATCATGCTGCCAAGGGGCAGGGCAATGCAGTCTCCATCTGGGCCACCAGATGCCCAGCTGAAGGCCCGGGTGTTGTACGAAGGAGGGGAGGAGGAAGAGATGCCAGGAAACAATAAGTCTTTGAACCTTCCCTTTCTCCTGAGTCACCTTAGACTGTCCTTAGATGGTTCTTCACATTAGAAAATTCTTACTTACATGATGAAAGAAGAACCAATGAGAGACCTCCACTGGTTCTCTGTGCCATTGGACATCTTTAGCTAATCACAAGTGAACTTCCTCTTCCCTAGGACGACTGTTTTTAAAAAGGGTGTCATGTCCTCTCACTCTCAAAAAGTCATCTGTTTCTTTAATCATGAGTCCCTTGAAACTAAATGATTCTGCCTTAATAATCCATGTCACTCTCCTCTTAACATATGTCAGTCTGACTATATCCTTTTTAATGTGTCTTGGAGACAAAATTCTGCTGTTCATGAGTTGTATGGCCTTGAGCATGCCATTGTAACTCTCTGAACCTTGGTTTCTTTGTACAGAATATGATTGTTTTTTTAATGTCCAAGAACAACATGTGAAATCGGAGAACTATAGAATTGTAAATGTGGAAAAATCTCAAAAGTCTTAAAATTCCATCTCTTTCCAAATGCATAAATCCTTCCCCAGTATCCCTGGAATATGTCAGTTAGTGCCTAAATTCTTGTAGGAATAGGGAATTGAAAACAATACTTCAAGTGTGGTCTGACCTGAGCAGAGAACAGTGGGATTATTAACACCCTTGATCTTGACACTGTTCTATTTAAAAAACCAAAGTTTGCATTAGGTTCATATGTAATTTTTGGCTGATACATATTTTTGGCTCGTTTGGTACTTGTGCTCACAGAAAATCATGAGAATCACACACACACACACACACACACACACACACACACCTTTCTACTACATTCTGAAATCAATCTTTTTCCTTCAAATACAACTGCTTGATTTTGTTTTCTAAATTGTTGCTTTTGTTTTTGTTTTCCTCTGATTAAGTAAATAATTCAGGTTTGTTGTGAAAAAAGTATGAAGGGTTTTCACAAATATGAACTCAAAATTGATTATAATTCTATCCCAGAATGCACCTCTGTTATATTCTGGTGAATATCACTTCAATTTCTTTTCTCTTTTATGTGTATGTGTATCTACCTGCCAATGCATGTGCATTCACACACACACACACACACACACACACACACACACACACACACACACTTATGGTACATTTAGTTGCATTTGGGTTGACAAAAGCCCACTTAAATAAATTGATTTAAGCGATGAAGAGGATAGTGAGTCTTTGTGGATCTGAGTCCCAAGGTAGGATGGTTTTCAGGGTTGACTAATGCAGTGGCTCAGTGATGTTATCGAAGATCTGTTTGTGTTCTGTTTGTCCACTCCATTTTCCATGGTATCAGCCTCATCAATGCTGTCCCTTTCTCTTATGATATCAAGGTGGGTGTCAAACACTAAGGAGAATAGATGTGCACATGTCCATATCTGAGGAGAGGGACTGGGAGCCATTTCTGGAAGCTCTTTCAGGAGAGCAAAGACTGTCATCACTACAAGTTTTCAGCAAACATATTCTCCCATGGCACTCTCCTGAGAGGAATCACTGGTCCATATCTGGTTCAATAACTGTATCCAGACGATGGCATTACACTGATCAATGTAGGCCTTAAACAACCACACCAGTCCGAGGGCCACAGGTGGAGTTAGCTTCTCCCAAACTCACAGACTGGAATGAAGAAGGTCTAAATAGTTGGATGAAATTTACTGAAGGAAGTAAAATATGTTGTGGTGAGGCCACTGCAAGGTCCACTATATCTATCATATTACATGATATCATATAATAATAATGCTATTATTCTATGACATGTAATTATTAAATTACTTAAAATTATATATAAAAACCTTATAGATAGGCAGGTAGCTCAGTAAGTGGATGGATGTAGGGATGCATAGATAGATAGAAAGATGGATAAATTAGGTAGATAGACAGGTAAATAAGATCAAGTTAAACATGTTTTATAACCTGCTTCTCAGTAACCATATTCTGTGAACATTTTTGATTGTCAATTCTCAGATTCTTACATCTTTTTAAATGGATAATGTCCTGATACGATCATGACTAATGATAGTAATTGGCCCCTATTATGGAACAATACTATATTTTTAGTTCTTTCTAGAACATGTGTCATGCTGAAAGAACATGTTTATACATGCATTATGGCCCAATCAGCTGCTTGTTTCCTTTGATAAATTTATATACATTTATATAAATATAAACAGATAGGAAAATATAAAATTTCAAGACATATGGCCAGATTCCCTTCCAAGAAGACTATATGCATTTATTCTACTGCCAATATCATTTGTAACTGCCCATTTTGACACATATTTAACACAAATATACTTTAATATATTTAATATGATTTTTACCCTACAAGTCTAATGGGGGGGGGAATGATACTGCTCTGCATTTGTTTTGCAATTCTTTTGTTACTAGTGGGGTTGAACATTTGAATACATATGATTGTCTCTTTTATCTTTGGCTTATTCTTCTTTTGAAGCGCTCATATTTTATATAAGTGCATAAATACTTGGTAAATGTTTAACTTCTGCTATATTTGTTGCATATTAATTATTCCTTATTTGTCCTTCAATTTTGTTTATAGTGTTTTCACCATATGAAGCTAAAACATTGCAATGTAATAAATCTGTTGCTGTTTTCACATGGGTGGGGGGATTTTTAAGTCTAAAATATGTAGACATTCAAATACTTTTGAGTATCTCCATAGTGGTTTCTAATATATTTATCTAGTGATTTAAAATGCCATCTAAACATAACTAATGAATCCTTGAACACTGTATCAAAAACTAATGATGTACTATACAGTGGCTAGCTGAACGTAATAAAAAATACTTTAAGATAAGTAAATAAATAAATAAAATTGTATCTATTTTCAGTCTCTAAATAAATAAATAAATAAATAAATAAAACAAAATGCTATGTTTACATTTCAAAACACTGACAAACTATTTTTTTCAAAATAAAAAATGTGCTAGGTACCTGGGGTGGGAGGAGATTCTTACCTCAAAATTTACATCAGAATAAATTTTGGAAAAATTTTGGAAAAACTCAAATTTAAATGTAAACAGATAAATAAAATTGAAAGAAACAAGGAACATGTTTTTATAATCTTAAATTAGAAAGATTTTCAAATATGATATAAAACCCCAGATCCCAAAAAGAAGAGACTGATAGACTCAAAAATATATTCAATGATTTTTAAATATGCATATTAAAAAAATACCGTTTATGCTACCTATAGCAATCTATGCATTTAATGCAATCCCTATCAAAGTACCATCAACTTTTTTCAAAGAAATAGACAAATAATCCTAAAAGTTGTATGGAACCAGAAAAGACCCCTAATAGCCAGAGGAATATTGAAAAAGAAAAGCGAAGCTGGTGGTATCAGAATTCCGGACTTCAAGATCTATTATAAAGCTGTAATC